TTGCCACCATTTAGTGCAGACCAGGTAGAGTCCCTGGTATGGTTATTAGAGGATGATGTGGATTGCTTCTTTGGAGCATTATGCTGCATGTTCACCACAGGTATTAAAGGGATTGTTATAAACGCAGTGCAACCTTTGACCAGACAGGTTTGTGTAAGTTCAGCTTTGTTCAAACCCATACTGCAGACATGGTCAGACTTGTTGCACCCAGCCTCAGTCAGCTTGCAACGTCATTCCTCTGCTCAAGGCACTCTTCCTGCATCCCCGACAGCACCCCCAGTGATGGCCCAGTATACTCTGCTAACTACCACATATACCAGTCCCCTGCTCCCACTCGCTGCACCTATCCTTTCTTTGGCCCTGTGGAGAGGTCCTCTGTGGCGGCTGCTCCCTCCTCTGTTCCATCTTCCAGCTCTTCTCTGTCCTCAGCTGCTCCATTCGTTTGCAGACCTGCGTTTACTTGCAGTGCTCCGGTAGTTAAAACCAGAAAAAAAAGCGAAAGTTCTTTCCAACCAGTACCATCCTGCCAGTATCCAAACCGGTGAGCCTGCCGTCTGAGAACCTGCCTTCCGTGGTTCAGCCTGGTGCCTCGGCACCCGCACTTCAGCCTGATGTCTCTACCCAGCCTGATGTCTGTAACCCAGCCTGATGAACTGATCCAGCCTGATGATCCTATCACGCCTGATGACCCAGTGCCCACTGTCGAGCCGAATGACCTGATGCCTGGTGACCCGATTGCCCGTTGTCGAGCCAGACGATCCAATGTCTGACCCAGTGCCCGCGGTCATGCCTGGTGACTCGGAAGCCCACTGTCGTGCTGGTGACTCGGTTGCCCACTGCCTTGCCAGATGACGCGGTGCCCGCTGGCGAGCCAAATGACCTGATGCCTGGTGACCCAGTGCCCGCTGTCATACCTGTTGACCCGATGCCCGCTGTCGAGCCAGACGATCCAATGCCTGATGACCCAGTGCCCGCTGTCATGCCTGGTGACTCGATGCCCGCTGTCGAGCCAGACGATCCAGCGCCAGATGACCCGGTGCCTACTGTTGAGCCAGACGATCCGGTACCTGATGACCCGGTGCCCGCTGTCGTGCCAATTGACTCAGAGCCCACTGTCGTGCCTGGTGACTCGGTGCCCACTGCCTTGCCAGATGACGCGGTGCCCGCTGTCGAGACCAAATGACCTGATGCCTAGTGACCCGATGCCGCTGTTGAGCCAGACGATCCAATGTCTGACCCAGTGCCCGCGGTCATGCCAGTTGACTCGGAACCCACTGTCGTGCCTGGTGACTCGGTGCCCACTGCCTTGCCAGATGATGTGGTGCCCGCTGGCGAGCCAAATGACCCTGATGCCTGGTGACCGATGCCCGCTGTCGTGCCTGATGACCGGGTGCCTGCCGCTCCGCCGGGGGGCCCGGTGCCCGCCGCCCCTCCTGGGGGTCCGGCGCCCACCGCTCCGCCTGGGGGTCCAGCACCCGCCGCTCCGCCCGGGGGCCCTGTGCCTGCCGCTCCTCCTGGGGGCCTTGTGCCTGCCGCTCCTCCTGGGGGCCCTGTGCCTGCCGCTCTGTCTGGGGGCCCAATGCCTGTCGCTCCGCCTGGGGGCCCGGTGCCTGCTGTCCTCCTGGGGGCCCTGTGCCGCTGCCCGGAGTCCAGCCCGATGTGCCGCTGCCCGGAGTCCAGCCCGATGTGCCAGTCTTTGATATCCCGCCAGTTACCAGACCGGGTGGTGGAACATTTTTGCCCAGCTAGGACTGTTTGGAGCGTCCTGAGGCCGCTCCTTGAGGGGGGGGTACTGTCAGGAATGGACTTGCCAATAATGGTGGGGACTCACCTGCCTTGTGGGCTGCAGTACCAGAGCTGGCCAGCGGGTGCTCTCAGCAATCAGAGACTCAACCCTGCAGTCAGCCAAACACCTGAGGCTGATTGCAGGTGTTCCTGTCTGACTGATTTGTTGCTGACCCTGCCTGATCCGGACCTCTGCTGACTTCTCCTGTTTGATCCCTGGCTTGTGACCCCGACCATTCTCTGCCTGCCTGACCCCCTGTACCTACCTGCCCGTTAGTTGCTGTACCCGGCTCGTGACCTTACTACTCTCTGCCTGCTCCTCCTGTTCCTACCTGCCCAATTGTTATTGACCGGGCCTGCCTGACGACGCTTGCATTGTATGTATTGTTATCTGTGGGTGGTTTGGTTTGGTTCGTTTGCACTGTGTTATGTTTTAGTATTGCACTGCATTTATGTATTGTTAGTATTAATAAATTATATTGTTTATAACATATCTGAAGCCTGCGTTTCCCTGCGTCAGTTCACATACCTCTGGTCATACCCGGAGCCCCTAACATTACGCCAAGGCCAATCCTGACCAGAAGTGGCTGACTTCTCCTGTTTGATCCCTGGCTTGTGAACCCCGACCATTCTCTGCCCTGACCCCCTGTACCTACCTGCCCGTTAGTTGCTGTACCCGGCTCGTGACCTTACTACTCTCTGCCTGCTCCTCCTGTTCCTACCTGCCTGATTGTTATTGACCGGCCGCCAGCCTGACTACGCTTGCATTGTATGTATTGTTATCTGTGGGTGGTTTGGTTTGGTTTGGTTCGTTTGCGCTGTGAGGTTATGTTTGTTATGTTTATGTATTTGCACTGTGTTTATGTATTGTTTAGTATTAATAAATTATATTGTTTATAACATATCTGAAGCCTGTGTTTCCCTGCGTCAGTTCACATACCTCTGGTCATACCCAGAGCCCTGACAACACTGCTGAAAGAAACTGTTGCTATGGAGGGGCTCCTCCTTCAGAAACTCTTAAGTATAAAGTTTCCTGCTTGTAGGATCATAACCCCTGCTATCAGACTGTACAGATAGTTTAGTTAGTGTGAGGGTTTTGTTTTTGGTTTTTTCTCAAGGTTCATCATGGACAGTTATCCTCCTGCTCAAATATAACTTTCCTTTGGGAAGTTCGGGTTTCATTAAAAAAAAAAAAAAGTCATACTCAGGCATTTCTCCCGACAGCTCCAAGACTGAGAACTGAGCAATCAAACACCACTGATCGCGTCAGCTCTCAGTCTTCAGTCACCGTCTCTCTGCTCTGCCTCCCCCCTTACCGTGCTTACTGGAGCACTGGACTGTAGAGGGGGTGGGAGTAGCTGGCTCAGGCTCTCAGAGAGGCTGAGGACAGCTGCTGGTTCAGGCATCTGGGTGGATCCCAACCATATGGTTGGACTCTTTTCAGAGCCTGGACCAACTCTGTGATGTCAGCCTGTCGGACATCAGTTTTTTTTCTTTTTGGGTTTAACACCTCATGAGATTATTTATTATTATTATACAGGATTTATATAGTGCCAACAGTTTGCTCAGCGCTTTACAATATAAAGGGAGACAATACAGCAACAATACAGTTCAATACAAGAGGGTTAGGATCGGGCTCTGCTCCTTGGAGCTTACAATCTAAGAGGAAGGGGCTGGTGGTGAAAAAGGTAATAACTGTGGGGGATGGATTGGTAGGAGGAATAGAAAGATTCCGTTATTAGCTGAAGGCAGGATAGGCTTCCCCAAAGAGATAGGTTTTCAGAGATCGCCTAAAAGTGGGCAGAGTAGGTGATAGTCTGATAGATTGGGGTAGGGAGTTCCAGAGGATGGGGAGGCTCTGGAGAAGTCCTGGAGATAAGTGTGGGAGGAGGATACCAGAGAGCTAGAGAGTAGGAGGTAGTGGGAGGAGCGGAGAGGACGGTTTGGGTGATATTTGGAGACAAGATTGGTGATATAATTTGGGGCAGAGTTATAAATTGGTTTTATATGTTATTGTTAATGTTTTGAATTTTATTCGTTGGGCAATGGGAAGCCAGTGGAGGGTTTGGCAGAGAAGGATGGCAGATATGGAATGGTTAGTAAGGTGGATGAGTCTGGCAGCAGCATTCATGATAGACTGAAGAGGGGATAGCCTGCGATTAGGTAGGCCAATGAGGAGGGAGTTTACAATAGTCAAGGCGAGAGAAAACCAGGGAGTGAATAAGTTGCTTAGTAGTTTCAGAGGTTAAGAACGGGCGTATCTTGGAGATGTTGCAGAGGTGAAGTCTACAAGATTTGGACAGTGATTGGATTTAGGGCTGAAAGGACAGATGGGGAGTCTAGGATTTTACCTAGTACCCCTGGCATGAGGGGAGGGACTGATGGTTGTATTATTGATCTTGATGGAGAAGTCAGGGGAGGGGGGCACGGGCTGGAGGGAATAGTATGAGCTCAGTTGTCAGGGCTCCCAGGTATGACCAAGACAAGGTGTGTGACTGATGCAGGGAAACGCAGACTTCAGATATGTGATAAACAATACAATTTATTAAACACTAACCCATACAAACATAAACGCAGTGCAATACTAAACATATACAAGTGCAAAACAAACCAAACCAAACCACCCACAGATAACAGTACATACAAGCAAGCGTCGTCAGGCAGCGCCGGGTCAATATCAATTGGGCAGGTAGGTACAGGGGGAGCAGCAGCAGAGAATGGTCGGGGTCACAGGCCAGGTTCAGCAGGTAGCAAGCCAGCGTAGTACAGAGGGTCAGGCAGAGGGATGGTCAGGGTCACAAGCCAGAAATCAAAACAGGTAACAAGCAGCGTAGTAACAGAGGGTCAGGCAGAGGGACAGGAAACAGGATGCAGGACAGATACAGGGCCCAGGACAAAACACAACACCAAGGCAGAGTCTGTGGGTCTGGCCATCCTTAAATACCCCAGCATCATCAGTTCCAGGTGTTAGCTGGCTGAAAAGGTTGAGTCTCTGATTGCTGGGGCCAGCAGGCAACCCGCTGGCCAGCCCTGGTACTGCAGATCAAAAGGCAGGTGAGTCCCACCATTGCTGGCCAGTCCATTCCTAACAGTACCCCCCCCAAGGAGCGGCCTCAGGGACGCTCCAAACAGTCCTACCTGGGCAAAATGTTCCACCGCCCTGGGGTTGGTAACTGGCGGGATATCAAAGACTGGGCACACGGGCAGGACTCCGGGCAGCGGCACACCGGGCTGGACTCCGGGCAGAGGGCACACCGGGCTGGACTCCGGGCAGAGGCACATCGAGCAGAGGCACACCTGGGCAGAGGCACACCGGGGCAGAGGCACACAGGGCAGAGGCACATCGGGCAGGACTCCGGGCAGAGGCACATCGGGCAGGGAATCCGGGCAGAGGCACATCGGGCAGGACTCCGGGCAGAGGCACATCGGTTTTACCAGGCGAAGCAGCAGGCAGCGGGGCCACCAGGCGGGAGCAGCAGGCACCGGCCCCCGGGCGGCAGGAGCAGCAGGCACCGGGCCCCCGGGTCTTGGGCCCGGGCGGGGCGCCGGGCCCCCAGGAGGGGCGACAGGCATCGGGCCCCCAGGCGGAACGACAGGCATCGTGCCCCCCCAGGCGGGGCGACAGGCATCGTGCCCCCAGGCGGGGAGGGGGCGACAGGCATCCGTGCCCCCAGGCGGAGCGACAGGTCTCGGGCCCTCAGGGCGGAGCGAGCGGCGGGCGCCGGACCCCCAGATGGAGCGACAGGTCTCGGGCCCTCAGGCGGAGCGGCGGGCGCCGGACCCCCAGGCGGAGCGACAGGTCTCGGGCCCTCAGGCGTCTACAGCGGCGGGCGCCGGACCCCCAGGAGGAGCGACAGGTCTCGGGCCCTCAGGCAGAGCGGCGGGCGCCGGACCCCCAGGCGGAGCGACAGGTCTCGGGCCCTCAGGCGGAGCGGCGGGCGCCGGACCCCCAGGCGGAGCGACAGGTCTCGGACCCCTCAGGCGGGAGTGGCGGGCGCCGGACCCCCAGGCGGAACGACAGGTCTCAGGCCCCCAGGCGGGGGGCGGCGGGGGCACCGAGTCACCAGGCACAACCGTGGGCTCCGAGTCAACTGGGATGACCGCTGGCACTGGGTCAGACATTGGATCGTCTGGCTGGACAGCGGGCATCGGGTCACCAGGCATCAGGTCATTTGGCTCGACAGCGGGCACCGCGTCATCTGGCAAGGCAGTGGGCTCCGAGTCAACTGGTATGACCGCGGGCACTGGGTCAGGACATTGGATCGTTCTGGCTGGGACAGCGGGCACTGGGTCACCAGGCATCAGGTCATTTGGCTCGACAGCGGGCACCGCGTCATCTGGCAAGGCAGTGGGCTCGAGTTCAACAGGCACGACAGTGAGCACCGGGGTCACCAGGTACCGGATTGTCTGGCTCGACAGCGGGCATCGGGTCACCAGGTATGACAGCGGGCACTGGGTCACCAGGCATCAGGTTCATTTGGCTCGACAGCGGGCACCGGATCAGGTACCGGATCATCTGGATCAACAGCAGGCATCGAGTCAACTGGCCTAATAGGATCGTCAGGCTGGATCAGTTCATCATGCTGGGTAGAGGCATCAGGCTGAATGCCGGCGTCCGGCTGAGTAGAGGCTTCAGGTCCGAGTAGAGGCTTCAGGCCGAGTAGAGGCTTCAGGCCGAGTAGAGGCATCAGGCCGAGTTAGAGGCATCAGGCCGAGTAGAGGCAATCAGGCCGAGTAGAGGCTTCAGGCCGAGTAAGAGGCATCAGGCCGAGTAGAGGCTTCAGGCCGAGTAGAGGCTTCAGGCCGAGTAGAGGCATCAGGCCGAGTAGAGGCTTCAGGCCGAGTAGAGCATCAGGCCGAGTAGAGGCTTCAGGCCGAGTAGAGGCATCAGGCCGAGTAGAGGCTTCAGGCCGAGTAGAGGCTTCAGGCCGAGTAGAGGCATCAGGCCGAGTAGAGGCTTCAGGCGAGTAGAGGCATCAGGCATCAGGCCGAGTAGAGGCTTCAGGCCGAGTAGAGGCTTCAGGCCGAGTAGAGGCATCAGGCCGAGTAGAGGCTTCAGGCCGAGTAGAGGCATCAGCCGAGTAGAGGCTTCAGGCCGAGTAGAGGCTTCAGGCCGAGTAGAGGCTTCAGGCCGAGTAGAGGCATCAGGCGAGTAGAGGCTTCAGGCCGAGTAGTAGAGGCATCAGGCCGAAGAGAGGCATCAGGCTGCATACAGGCATCAGGCTGAAGAGAGGCATCAGGCTGATACAGGCATCAGGCTGAAGAGGCATCAGGCTGAGTAGAGGCATCAGGCTGATGTAGAGGCATCAGGCTGAGTAGAGGCATCAGGCTGAGTAGAGGCTTCAGGCTGAGCCACGGAAGGCAGGCTCACCGGTTTGGATACTGGCAGGATGGTATTGGTTGGAAAGAATTTTCGCTTTTTTCTGGTTTTAACTACTGGAGCACTGCAAGTAAATGCAGGTCTGCAAACGAAATGGAGCAGCTGGAGACAGAGAAGAACTGGAGGATGGAACAGGAGAGGGAGCGGTTGCTACAGAGGGCTCTTTTACAGGTTTAAAGGCAGGATAGGTGCAGCGAGTGGGAACAGGGTACTGACATGCGGTAGATAGCAGGGCAGGAGGAGCTGTTGGGAATGCAGGAATAGAGTTTTGAGTAAAATAGATTAGAAGCAGGACTGGGTCTTTGTAAGCTGACTGAGGCTGGGTGCAACAAATCTGTCCATGTCTGCAGTATGGGTTGAACAAAGCTGAGCTTACACAAAGCCTGTCTGGTCAATGACTGTACTGCGTTTATACAATCTCTTAGTGTCTGTGGTGAACATGTGGAATAACGCTCCAGAAAGTAACCCACATCATCCTCTAATAACCACACCAGGGACTCTACCTGGTCTGCACTAAATGGTGGCAAAAATTCATCCCTGCATTCGGGGGAACCAGATGAAACCAACTCAGCACAAACCTCAATCAAAGGCTGCACCTCAGAGAACTCTGTTCCCTGATCTACTAGAACATGAGCGAGCCGTATACATTCTAGCAGTTCATCCCGGGTATACTCCTTCAGAGTTTGATAAGCATACTCCCTGTCATCAAACACTAGCAGATATAAATATTCAACCTCATCAAGATCCATCCTTCTCATCAACAAGCCAAGATGGCTTCCCTGTGCAGCCACTTCTGGTCAGGATTGGCCTTGGTGTAATGTCAGGGCTCCCAGGTATGACCAGAGGTGTGTGACTGATGCAGGGAAACGCAGACTTCAGATATGTGATAAACAATACAATTTATTAACACTAACCATACAAACATAAACGCAGTGCAATACTAAACATAATACAGTGCAAACAAACCAAACCAAACCACCCACAGATAACAGTACATACAAGCAAGCGTCGTCAGGCAGGCCGGGTCAATATCAATTGGGCAGGTAGGTACAGGGGGAGCAAGCAGAGAATGGTCGGGGTCACAGGCCAGGGTTTCAGCAGGTAGCAAGCAGCGTAGTACAGAGGGTCAGGCAGAGGGATGGTCAGGGTCACAAGCCAGAGATCAAAACAGGTAACAAGCAGCGTAGTACAGAGGGTCAGGCAGAGGGACAGAAACAGGATGCAGGACAGATACAGGGCCCAGGACAAACACAACACCAAGGCAGAGTCTGTGGTCTGGCCATCCCTTAAATACCCCAGCATCATCAGTTCCAGGTGTTAGCTGGCTGAAAGGTTGAGTCTCTGATTGCTGGGAGCACCCGCTGGCCAGCCCTGGTACTGCAGATCAAAAGGCAGGTGAGTCCCCACCATTGCTGGCCAGTCCATTCCTAACACTCAGTTTTGGAAAGATTGAGTTTGAGGAAGTGGGAGTGACATCCATGCCGATATGTCACTTAGTAGGTTAGTAATGCGAGAGGAGACTGAAGGGGTGAGGTGAGGAGTAGAAAGATAGATTTGTGTGTCATCAGCATAGAGATGGTACTTAAAGCCATGGGAGTTTATCAAGTGACCAAGGGAGGAGGTGTAGATGGAGAAGAGAAGGGGTCCAAGGACAGAACCTTGAGGGACCCCTACAGAAACAGGAAGTGGAGAGGAGGAGACAGAGTTATAGGTAACGCTAAAGGAGCGCTGCGATAAGTAGGAGGAGAATCAGGACAAAGCAGAGTCTCGAAGGCCAGGACAGTAGAGTTTTTTGAGGAGGAGGGGATGGTCAACAATATCAAATGCCACAGAGATGTCAAGTAGTAAGTGTATAGAGTAGTGGCCATTGGTTTTAGCAGTTAGTAAATCATTAGTGAGTTTGAGTAGGGCAGTTTCAGTGGAGTGTAGTGAGCGAAAGCCAGCATGTAAAGGGTCAAGAAGGTTGTCAGTGAGGTAGGAACTCAGGCGATTGTAGACTAAGCGTTCTAAGAGTTTAGAGGTAAGTTGTTCAGGTTGGAAGGGTCCAGCAAGGGTTTTTTAAGTATGGAAGTGATGTGTGCATGCTTTAGAGGGGTGGGGAAGGCACCATTAGAGAGGGAAAGATTGAAGATGTGAGTGAGGGAGCATAAGATAGAAGAAGAAGGTGATCGTAGTAGTTGTGAGGGGACAGGATCCAAGGGGCAGGTGGTGAGACGGGCTTCTGAGAAAAATTTTGTGACCTCTTCAGTATTAGCAAGGTCAAAAGAGGAAAGTGTTGAGGGAGGCTTAGTATAAAGTATGCTAAGTGGGATGGATGTCTGTGCAGTGGAAATGCCCCTGCGAATTGCATCAATCTTGTTCTCTAAATGGTTTGCAATCTTGTAAGCAGTGAGTGAGGTACTGGGTGGAGGTGCTTAAGAGACATAGCCGTGCACTGGAGTGATTGTGGCGTAAAACCAAATCTCAGCAAGCATTCACCCTATATAAATCTGCTTTCTTAACATACAATTCCTCCCTCCATGCTCCCTCCAAACAAGCCTACTTTGTCACTCTTATAAATACCTTGTCATTAAGACTTCTGGTGTCGTCAGTCTGTCAAGGTTGTAATGGTCGGGGGCCTGATAGTTCGTGTAGTTAGAGGAGCAAGTGAGTCTAGTTTGGATTAAAGCGAACTATTGTAGACAGCAATGGCCAGGTCAGGGCAGGAAGATGGGTCTGTATAGTGTTTTGCCATGCTGTGAATACCATCATCAGGAATCTATTGATTCCTGCTGCTGGGATTGGCAGCTGTGTGCGGATATCCATGGCCCCCAAGCCCATAAAACAAGTCTATTGGAGAAACAATGTTTTTTTATTTTACATTTATGGAAGTAGTAAAGTATTTGGTTTCTCTTTTTAGCTGTATTGAACCCTGTTGTGCTAAGTGAGGAAAGTTTTAAGTACAGTTTACCTGTAGGTAGGTAGAGATGGTAATAGTAAGAAGGGGCACCCAGGTCAGGATGGCGGAGGAGAAGGAGGGGGGAGGAGTGAAGGAGAGAGGCAGGTAGGTAAAAGTAGGAAACAAAATGAGAAAAACACAAAACATTTTAAAATCCAACTGTATGATAAATGTAAAAATAACCCATCTCCCACCCCCTCTATCTGATCACTTGGTTAGAAAAAACAAATCTATGTTTACTTTCTGGAGAGGTCCTTCTTCCAGGTGTCCAGATCACTGCTCAAGTGATGTGGATAATTCCCAGTGGCCAGCCAGCAGAGGGGTCCTCTTAAAGACATTGAGGGTTAACATGTGGCACTGGATTAACAGTCCTTGTAGGTGATCACTGTGTCAGTGAGGGACCTGGATGAAGGGACTCAGGTGAGTATAGCCACTGTTCTCTGCTCTGCTCCTCCAATGCTTACTAAGCGCTTGCTCTGAGCTGTGCTCTGAGAACCAGAGACAGTTGTCAACCAGACAGCTGGGTGGATCCCAACAATATGGTCTATTTCCTTCAAGAGCCTTTAGCCCGCTGTCGGTTCATTTTGGGTCATAGGAGAGCAAAAGTAAGTGCACTTATGTGACCCAAAAGAGAAGTATGGACAAAAAAGCTTTGGCCATACTTCTCTTTTAAGATGTATGAATAACATGTAACAGGTAGTGAGGACTTAAAGCAGTAAAAGGCCTCTAGCACACGGACACAATCCTTAGAGTTGGCGGCTGCATTGGTTTTCTTTTTTTAAGCTTTTTTCCTCTCTGTTTTCACCTGGTGATCTGGCCAGTAACACACCTCCTATATTTGAGTGACCCCTCTCTGGATTAAAGAGCAGAGTATATAAAATGAGAATTCCATAAACAGAACAAAATCCACTACAAATGGTGTTGTGACATTATTCATAGTTGCTCATGTGAGCAGTACACAGAAGGCCAATAACCACATCCTTGAAATAGGGAACTATTGGGATTGGAGGAATATGCAAACAGCAAATGCTGAAAACAACAATTTACGGAATGCTCAATGTTCCCAGAGAAAAAGAAGAACAAAGAAAAAAAAAGATTAAAGAGGTAAAGAGAAGAAAAGGAGAGGCAGTGTCAGGGAACAAGATCGCCGCAGCATAGGCATACAGGCAGACGGGCAATAGGAACCAGGGGCGCCTGTCACCAATGATGGTGCAAGCGGGCACTAGGACCCAGGCGCGCCTGTCGGTGCCGGGCGGGCTATTTAAACGGGCCACTGCAGGATCC